CCTCCCCCCCCCCCCCCCGACAGTCACAAACCGTGAACTTCTTATCATCAGCATAAGGCGTCCATAACTCTTATCTGAGACCTGCAGAATTCCCCCCACCCATCGCCCAACAGGGACGACACCGCTCTGGTAAAGGAGGGGTTAACAAGAGAGGCCTGATGCAGGTCCTGCAGTTGCAGAGTTGTAGCAATGATCTGCAGGGATAACAAAGCTCTGTATTACATTTCCACATTTATATTGATTGCAATCTGATACTTATGAGAATTGGCACAAAAACAGCGAGCCGTGAGCTCAGCATCATTTGTAAGATTACCCGTGTCCGTTGGTGCAGTCTTCATCACATTGTATACTGACACATTGATTGGACTTCAGATGAAACCCTTTTCACACTGTATTGTGGGCTGCAAACTGGAAGCAGGAACGTTGTGTAGGTGTGGAGCCCAACAAGTATACAGCCTCAATGTTCCTAAGGCAGGACTGGGCAAATCCCAGGAACCAGGTAGCCAATGCTCTTTAAAAAATTACAGCTGGCTCTTAACTTTTTAGGTTCTCTCTAGTTGTCAAATGGTCCCAAAAAAATCCTGCTGGCTGCTGGATAGGACAGACTGTCTCCTGAGTCCCATTTTAATTTGTCCACCGCTGGCCTGAGGGCCCATTCACACCACCTCCAGACCAGATTGTTTCTGTCAGTTCCAAGAACCATGATGGCTGAAGTGGAACCCGAATTCTTTGTGGAAGTCTGCCCAGAGCTGTATGATCCGAGGCAGGGGCAATATAAGAACAATAATAAGAAGATGGACAAGTGGAGAGGAATTGCTGCCCAGGTTGTCTCTGGCTATGATCATTTGAGAAGCTCTGAAAAGAACAACTGTGGTAAGTTCATGTCTCTTATGTGAAAGCATTGTGCTGCTCTTTTCCTGGCTATCTGTAGGTCTTGCAGGAGGTCTCCCAGCAAGGCCTGAAATTGAACGTGTCAAAAACGCGGTGCGTTCCAGATCTGGTCCAGAAAATGTGAACCTGCTCTCAGGCAATATGGAATTCTGGAGCCAGTCTATCTTGTCAGAGGCCAAAAGACACACACACACACACGCACACACACACACACGCACAAAAAAAATCAATAGCAGCGCCAAAAACAGATTTCTCCAAGGTGGAAGGAGATTTATTTTACTCTTACTACCATCTAAGACCCCGGAGGAAAATTCTCCCCGCTTCCGGAATTGTTGGGACAGCCGGAGTTTGGATTTGCTGCCCAGCGAACCCTATAGGGATTGCACCGCATGGTTTCCATAGAAGAATCCACTTCAACAGATAATTGGACACAAAATTATTTAATGACACTTTAAAAAGTTAGGTGATGCACGCAGGGTCGTGACTACAGATCATGGGGCCCCATAGCAAATAACTTAACAGCCGCATGGGCTGCTATGGCAATTGTTACGCCCCTGGGTGCACGGACAGGACTCTGGCTGTGAATTTGTCAGTTTCTGAGATTCCAAAATACACATTGAATTGCCGCATGGCCACAGACATACCACCATCTCCGGGTTCAACCATGATCAGCCAAACCGGATAACCATGACATTTTTGTTTGCAGAGGGCAGTGTGTTATCTCGCATAGTCTCTACACAGATCTGTATTTACTCACACCATGTAACCACCAACCATACAATGAGCTTCCCGGCATAAGCAGAATTTACACCACCATGTCAGGAATGACACCACACAGGCAGGAGGAGAGAGGAAGACATCAATGAAGAAGAAAAGTTTCAATGAAGATTCATATAGATGGCCATTGTTGATCAAGACCAAATTAACTTTACATTTAAATCACCTAATAAAAGGTGCATCAGAAGAAAAAAAGGTGCGCAAGTCTTAAGCTGGCCATACATCACCCATGCCAGCCCCCTCCCATGTCTGTCCCCACCAATGAGCACTGGATGAACAGACAGGGGAGGGAGGAATCCTTGCGGGGGGGGGGG